ATTAGCAAAACTAACTCATCAAAGGGTCAAATAAAGCCTAACTTTTGACCAGCTTTCTGCCGAACAATTGTGTTTTCTCCTGTCCTTTCCCGTTCTTGGTATTTTTATACATCCACTTACTTTGTCCATTTTGCATTTGTTGAGTTTATCATTAAGCATTATACTGCTTAAAATGTTTGGGTTCATGAAAGCATTACATTTTTTCTAAACTCTCTTGATCTGGATAAATATTATCTGTCCTTCGCACACAGATCTATTTATAGAAAGTGCTCAATCATTCGAATTAAGACTTAACTTTTCATAGGTGCATTACAAGCGTTTCTGTAATCATTATAGTACTTCACTAATGTGTGTATTTAGGCCTTCATTTGACTCGTTCGACTTCTCATGCCCTGCAGAGTTATTTTTATTTAACAGTCCTGCTTCTCTTCTTTACCTTGTTTGACTGCCTATCAATATTTTGATGCGAACATATTTTTGGATAAACTACTTTCTTTTAATAATGACCTACCTGAGTATCGTTTCTCGCTCTACTTTCATCTCAGCCTTCTTTTATAAATTCATTAATAACTTGATATTCACTTAAAATCCTTTTTCTTTATTTTTATCGGCATTAATCAAGGGCCTTAATCCTGTCTTTTTAATCTACATGTTCATTGCTTCTTTCATTTACCTTATTTTTCCACAAAGAGAAATTAAATTTCAGATTAATTATAATTATTATATACTATCTGATTGCGTGATTGCTAGGACTTATTATATAGATGAAAAATCATCTCATTTTTATTGGGAATGAAGACCTTCGATTCTTTGTTTATAAGACTATATTTTGCTTTTTCCAGATTTATTATAATTTTATATTACTTAGACTTAGCATTAAAGTTACACTATCCAATCATATTTTACCGACATCCTCGCATTTAACATTCTCTCTAAGTATATCTTTGGCCATTGTCTTTTAAATGATTTTGTACAAGAACCAATTTGTTTGTATTTCATATTGTCTATATAAGCCCTAATTTATGTTTTTAGTTTGATATCTTTATTCATATCCTCAGTTTATAGCTTTTTTCGCTTTTCTTGCTTCCTTTTAGCGTAAGCTTCGAAAGCCGCCTTCTGGCTATGTGATTTACGCAGGAGAAGTCCGTAAAAAACTGCTTCAGGATAAGCCAGACGCCCCCTTTGGAGAGATATCTCGCGAAGTTGGTCTCATGGTAAGCAAGCTTTCCTTATTATCTCCTAATGTTTGACCCTTATGCTTTAGTCAATACCGAGGGTCTTAGTCTTCATATCTTCGTTTAAGCTTTAGTGTTCCGAAAAGGACGTTGACTATTTCTAAAATAAAAAACGTCTGCACTCTACAACTCCAAATTTGTAGACCTAGAAACTAAGGAGATCAAGAAAAATATTATTACCAAGTGTCCCATTTAGAAACGCTGAATGTATTATAGGAGGCTGATAATAGAAAGTCAATAATTTAAAGGCGGCGTGAAATAGAAAAATCTGAACACCATGGGTCGCAATGGAGATGAGAAAGATCGACTTAAGCACTATGTTAGCTACTTGATGCATCCTGGCGTCGCCTGATTGGATGCTCCGGTGCCAAGCTTTGATTAGTCGACCCAAAATAAATAATGAAGATTAGTAATACACTTAGGTGATTTATGTGTCTAAGGCTGTTTAGCCATGGCTACGTACCGGACAAAAAAGTGTAAGTTAGGTCACTATAATGCTAAAGGAGCAACACAACTAATTTTCATATTATAGTCCGTTTGTACTCTCAAGATTTCGACTATCAGAACTGGTACTTTTTTACAAGACATGCTTTTATCACAGTGTTACATTGGTTTATATTGGTAGGGCGATTTCAGCAAGCCTGAAAATCAGGACATTTGAGCCCCTCCCGTTCAGACTACATGCTACTAAACACTTGAGGCACATTATGGATATAAGGCTGTGAGTAAAACATATAAAGTAGATAAAACCGAGGGAAATCAAACATTTATATAATAGACGGATTTTTTGGGGAAAAAGGAAGATTCGTGTTGGAGTCAAATGAATTATTTTGCGGATTTGTCAGGTTGGATAAATTCTAGCATATGATGAGGGGAAATGAATACAGAGGCGAATGTAATCACGCCTCACCATAACGCTTAAAACGGCACACTTCTGAAGCAGTCTAGAAGTTAGAAGTTATGATAGATAATGATAGCTGCAAGCATACGAGGTAGGTGGGCACATTAGAATAGAAGATGAGATAGAAAATTCGTTTAATGGAAAATTGGTTAACGGATGGAGTTAGCTTGTCTCTTCGATTACTTGTAACTTGGTGATATCACTGGCATAGCTCACGGACGGTGAAGATTACGATGCCGGCGAAAGTATGGTTATGCATCATGTCCCCGGTTTAACACTTGAAATTATCACTACTTTGTCAGAAGACTCAGGACAATGGGCGTTCATCGGTGTCTCTCCAATAACACTATAAAATTGCGAAAACCCAGTCGAGCCAAAGGAGGCTACACCATTATAGGCTTCATATTTGGAGTGAAATCTTATATTTGTTTAGTATTGTGAATTAGACAAGGGTAAAAATGACTCATCATTTCTCAACATATTTTATTCAGTGGCGTCAAATGCCGATGCATGAGCGTGACGTCTATGAGCGCAAAGCACAGCTGATTAAACGCAGAATGGCTGATGAAGAAACCAATTCGAAATCTCTTGACAAAACCAATCAACCTGAGGAGATGGCATGCACTAGTCTTACTAGTATGCCGGGACTCGGATCTATGTCAGCTGATCAGTCAAATTCTCAAAGTAGTTTCGTTGACGCAACTACAGGTATGCCAGTTAGAACTGCAGGTTCTGCTGAATCGCTTAGGCCAGGACTTGATGTGCCTGCAGCCACAGTCAGGAACCAAGCCCAACATCTTCAACAACAACAGCACTTGCATCAGCAACAGTCTCAGCAAATTCAGCCCCCAATTTCTCACCGGCCTCAGCATCAATTACTCCAACCTGGTCTCTCTTCGGTTGGCCTTGTCGGAGGAGCTCCTCTTTCTGGGATCACTGCTGGGTCTAGTGTAGGCCTTCATCATATTCTTCCGCCTGGATCAGTCCAAAATTCCGCAAGCTCAGTCGCTCCAGCTCTCATGGTGGCCAATTCGAGCCCGACTGTAGTGGCTGCTACAACTGCTACCTCTCAAGCAGGTGGACTCGCTCTGTCGGTGGGCATGCCTGGTGGCACCTTGCAGCCATCCCCGATGTTATCTGACCAACAGCAGGTAAGTGAGCAACAGAACTTTAAACAAAGTAAATAACCACTTTAAGAAAATTTATGAAATTTTCTATTGTTAATATTAATTACTTTGGAAGTATGCTCTTATTCATTAGGACGCATAAATTAAGCACAGGGTTCTATCACTTATTTCCTGAGCTTAGCAGCTTCAGACTGATCTCGGCTTTGCGAATTATTATTCTCAAGCTTCATCTGGATATTCCATGCGACTAGATCATTATTTTCTATTCTTGAATTACTTGATTTTCTAACAACTCATTTAGATTCTTTCGATATTCAGGTCTCGAAAATCTATTCAAAATGAAATATTCTTATATATTGACATTTGAAATTATAATTATGCTAAAGTTTGCACAGCCCTTCAGATCCATTGCAGTAAGAAAATCATAAGGTGAAGCTAGAGTAAAATCCCAATTGGCATTGACAGCTAGGCCATAACGGGCTAATGCATTTCTTTCAAAAATTCGAGCAATGGATTGGAAAAACTATGATAATCCGTCTGGTTTCATTTTTTAATTTTCTAAGATTTGGGATTAGCTAAATTGTCCTAGCCAACTCTAGTTTATTTTCCACAAGGATGCATTGATCAGGTTCGTTTAGTGTCTACATATCTATTTATTTTCATGATAATCCTTCTACTCACTAGTTTTGAATTAAAGATCTGATATATGCAAACGTAGACAGAAAATTTGGCTTTGATATTTTTCTATAAAAATGTCATCGTTGCCTTTGTGAATCTTTTGAGCACAGGTTAGTACAGCAACTTCATCTCTGCTAAGGCATCATGCCTTTCTTCAACATGAATGGATTAGCCGATATAATGTAAACGAATTTGAGATTTATCACTTATCTGCCAAAGCCTGGTTTTAACATTATTATACACGCTTTTACTCCACTTTATCAGGTTGTTTATCAGTTCCCAACCGGAAACCCTGATCCTCAGTCCGGCCAGTCTGCTACACTTCTTCTATCAAACCAGTCTGCCCCTGGTTCTAGTTCCACTCAGCCTGCACATTCTTCTGCTTTGACAGCCCAACATTCCGGCCTCCTTACTGATTCGACCATTTCAGTTGGATCAGCTGTTTCCGTCGTTCCTACCATTGCTTCTATCGTCTCATCTGCATCTGGTCCACTAGTTGTTGCCTCGAATTCACTACCAGCTTCAGCCTCATCATCTGCACCTCGCCTCCTTCCACTACCGGGAGTCCCAGTCGTTTCTGAACTCTCCTCAGCCAGCCCTACGCCCTCTCTACAATTGAGCCTTTCACAGACTCATCAACCGCCATCGACAACTTCTTTGTCACTTGTTCACCCTCAAGCTCAGGCTACGATTGCCCGATCTCCATCGGCTGCATCGGTTCCTAAATCGGCAGGTGAGCTTAATCAGCCCATACAATCCATTATTATCTTCATGCCTTTTCTTATTTTTTTCATAGACTCTTCAATACTTTTTATCTGACCCATGACTATCTTTCTGAAAATTTACTTTCCGTCAGGACGGTCAAATAGCTTCTTTGACTCTAATTACTGAAAATAGTTTCGCGATTGTGATGGTACTAATAATAGTCTGACGTAAGCACCTTAATGAGTATGGTGATTTCTCGTTCATTGATCTTCAAATTCGGACTGATAACGCCAATGAGCAAGATGTTTGACGTAAATTCACTCCTTCACACTTGCAGCACATCTGATTAAAGGCTAAATTATAACTATATAAAGATGCTTTGAATGACATAGTCATTTTAGAAGTTGTTTGACCTTGTTTTCGCAACTTGGTATGAAGATTCAAAGGTAGGCACCTAGTTCGGAGTCCATTGTATGCATTATAATTTACAGAGTCGGATCATAGACGTGGTACATTCCCAGACG